TTCAGAGTTGTGAAGAGATTAAAATACTCCAATGCGTTCTGGGAACTATGTCAGAAAACTTGTTCGAAGTTGATTGATTTCAATGACTGAATGAAGAGCTGTAACTTTTTTTTTCCAATGTCTATATAATGTCTGTACTTTGTATGAAGTCTTTACACATGATCAAATGTCTGTATATCTGGCATCCCTGCCGTCATCTGCGAACAACTTGAGTGAAATCGAATTTCTCTGATGCGCTGATGCTAATTTTTTTTTTATATTAATTTATTTGTACAGGCTCAATCGAATAAACTTTACAGAGCCGAGTTCTCATTTGCATTATACATGATTAATGTCTTAAATCTAGAGTTAAAGGAATTGAACCGATTACTCGCGGTCGTCTCGAGGTTAGTGGAGATTTACAATTTTTTTGGATGGGGAAAGGGAGAAGGAGGTTTGAAATATGATTTATTATACAAATATTTGATTAATCCTAAAACATGAACTTATTTCTATTCATCTTGAAAACAAACATTAAAAAAAACTACACGCACAATACACAAATTAAACACAAGGTTAATCAAACTTACAATCTAAGGTTAGTATTCTTAAAGTAAACATATATGAGTTTCATAAACTCCAGATCACGTCTAGCCAAAATATCCCGAACTGGAACATTAGGTTGTTTACCTCGAGCCCGAAGGGAATCGCACAGCTCAGATCTGACTCCACGATGCTCAGCACAAGACCAAAGGATGTGATCGGCGTCTTGGTAACCTTGTCCACATTCACAGAGATTGCTGTCTCCCAGCCCAACACGAAACAAGTAAGCGTTTAACGAATAGTGATTGGACATGAGGCGAGACATCAGACGAATGAAGTCTCGACCCACATCCAACCCCTTGAACCAAGGACTCTTCGACACCTTAGGGATGATCGAGAATAGCCATCGTCCCAAACTTCCTTCACTCCATTTATTTTGCCAGCTGGCGAGCGACTGTTGACGATAAATGAAGAAAAATTCATTGTAGGCGATTTGTCGATCGTAAATATCGCCTTGCATAGCGCCCACCTTAGCAAGTGAGTCAGCCATCTCATTGCCCGGAATCGAGCAATGAGATGGGACCCGTGCAAAGGTGATGACAAAAGATCTTAAAGATAAAGCACTCAAAAGCTCTCGTATTTTCATGAGAAAATACGAGGAGTGCTTTACCGGCCTCATGGATCGAGTAGCCTCGACAGAACTGAGACTATCCGTAAAAATAAAATAGTGATCTGGTGCAAGTGAGGCGATCGTTTCTAGCGTATAGTGTATTGCCGCCAGTTCAGCAACATATACCGAACAAGGAGCTTGAAGCATTCGAGAGGCGCTATGAAATTCGTTAAAAATACCAAAATCAGCGGACGACTCTATTAGTGATCCATCTGTGAAGAACGATCTTGCGGAATCAACTTGGCCAAACTTCGCAGCATAAATTGACGAAACAATCATGGAACGATGATGTTCTGGGATTCCACGAATTTCTCGCGTCATAGATAAATCAAAACTAACTGAATTGCCGAAGTCGGAGAAGCATACACGATGGGGATTATGCTGTGAAGGGCTGACATCCTGAGTTATGTGCACGTAGTACAATGACATAAAACGAGTTTGAGGGTTTAGCTCAAGAAGCTTCTCAAAGTTTTCGATTACCAGTGGGTTCATAACTTCACAACGGGTGAGGAGCCTGAGGAGCCGATCAGAGAGTGGCAACATGCCCGCTAACACTTCTAGACTCATCGTATGAGTCGAGTGCATGCATCCTAACGCGATACGAAGACAACGATACTGGATACGTTCCAGTTTGATGATGTGATTTTTAGCCGCCGACTGGAAGCAAAAACTACCGTACTCTAAAACCGATAAAATCGTTGTCCGGTACAACGTTAGAAGACCCCACCACGTTCCGGTAATTGTTCGGAGAAAATTGATCCTTTGTTGGCATTTTCGTCTCAGATACTCAATGTGGGATCTCCAGGTGCATTTGGAATCGAACCAGACCCCAAGATATTTGAAAGACATGGAATGAGTGATCGGCTTACCCAAAAGTTGAAGCTTCGGTTGTGCTGGGCTATGCTTCCTAGAAAAAACGACCAACTCAGTTTTCTCCGTGGAGAATTCGATACCTAGCTGAATAGCCCAAGTAGACAAATTGTCTAAGGTATCCTGTAAGGGTCCTTGCAGGTCGGCCTCTCTGGGCCCTGTCATAGACACTACGCCGTCATCTGCAAGTTGTCTCAACGTGCAGTTGTCACTTAGACAATTGTCAATTTCTCTGACATAGAAATTGTACAAAAGGGGGCTTAAACATGAGCCCTGGGGGAGACCCATGTAACTAAATCGAGAAGCTGTAGAGTTTCCATGAGAAAAGCTCATATGTTTCTCTAACAGCAAATTGTACAAAAAGTTATTAATTAATGGGGAAAGGCCACATGCGTGGAGTTTGTCTGAAAGGACTTCAACCGATACTGAATCAAAAGCCCCCTTAATATCCAAGAACACAGAAGCCATTTGCTCTTTTTTAGCAAAAGCCAACTGGATTTCTGTGGAAAGCAACGCGAGACAGTCGTTCGTTCCCTTACCCCTACGGAAACCAAATTGAGTATCTGAGAGTAGGTGGTTCGTCTCTGATGCTAATTTGACAGCTCCTCTTTTTCCTCTACGGTTTTTTTTTCTTGTCGGGTATTTTCATCACTGCGACCATTTTTCTGATCTATTGTGATATATTCCCCGTTTTTTTTTCTTTAGCTATATCAAGATGCCGTATCACTATTATTAGGAGTGATCGCCATCGTTTGACTAATAGCATTATCCCAGCACGGCATTATACTTCGAATAAAGTGCACTGCCGTACTGGGAGTTGTTCTCCAAATGTCAAAGGGTTCTATCAGCCCCTTGTCGAAGAACTTACGCCAAAACATTGCCGGACAGTGGCATAGCCAATGTTCCGAGTCTTCCTTTTCTATGCCACAGAAGCGACATACATCATCTTGAAGTTTTCCAATCAGCTTCAAGTGATAACGGCTCGGACAATGACCTGTTATAAGACCTGCATATATACTTAGATCTTTCTTAGAAAGTTCCAGGATTTTGTGGGTCACAGAAATGTTTGGATTAATAAATCGCTTCGACTGCCTAGCAATAGAAGTGTTCTTCCAGTTTTCCTCCACTTTTGAAGATTCCCACGCTTTTAGTTCCATTCTAAGAGATGCATCCGATAAGCCACAAAAGGGCTCTGGCCCGATGAACTTATGAGAAGATCCGAGTCTTGCTAGTGCATCAGCTCTTTCATTTCCCTCAATCCCGCAATGACCAGGAACCCAATATAAGTTGACTTGATTATGACAAGACAATTTTTGAAGTGATTGAACACACTCCCAGACAAGACTTTAAAGCCGACTCTACGGTTAATCTTGGTACATGTCGCACCGCCTTGCGGAAAATAAAAAAAAAAAAAATCTAGATAACGATATGGTAAAGCTCATTCTCGAAAATTGTGTTCGTCAATTCGAAAACACGTTGTTGAGCAATTCTCGCTGAATCCTGTGATTTGTTTTTTGCACGAGGTTTTCAAATACCAATTTACCTTACCGGTCATTTCGAAGTTTTGAAGGTTACTTTAGAAATTCATAGGAAGTTTTGGCATCTTTTAGATTTCTGACCATTCGCATTTCTTGACCATTTTATTATGGAGGTCATCTGTGATTTGTCATTGTCATTTCGACATTTTTCGGAAATTAATTAATTCTTCAAAAATGGTGGGTCGCGAGTTAACGAATCTTCGAATGCTGGCTTTTAACATCAAAACATTCGATAGAATAACAGTTTTTCCAACTCCAATCACCTCTACCGACACCAACTTCATGCAGGAAATTCATAGAAACGACTATTTCTATCGCAATTGCGAATCGATCGATGTCCCTTTCCCTTTGAGCGTCCCCGCCCGTAGCGTAGATTGGCATCGTTTGTGTCGTTTGTGCGATATGGAATGTGAATTTGAATTCTGATGCACTTGCATGCATACCAAGCCATGTGCGAACTATGAACAAGTGCGGTGCTGGAGCTTTCTGATGTCGTTACTCAGCTGTTGGAAGCAGAAGAGATGGAGACGCAAGTTGAAATTTTGATTGAACTGAGTTCTAGGCAGTGCATTTCGAAAGTGCATCAGAGTGCGAAGGAAATTGCAACTTTGTCGCCTGATCGTTGCGAACGGGATTTTGATTCGGGGAGGAAAACTTCGTCCTTCGGAGCGGATGTACTGGGGACCAATCATTCAAAGACATCGACGAACGGTTTGCCTTTCCAATAGGGGGAAGTGTGCAAGTGAAAACCGGGACTTTGAATCGGTTTTCTTTATCGATGATGATTGATTGAGTGTGACGGATGTGTGTGTGTGGTTGCCTGATGATTGCGGGTTCATGAGAATTTGTGGTGTGCGAGTGTGTTTGACATGCATGCTGTTGGTAAGGATTTTGAGAAACTATTGAGCGAGTTTGGAACATAAAGAGCTTCTCCTTTAACGTGAATCGTTGTAGAATCCTTGTATGTATCTGATTTTTATTCACCCATTTTTTGGTTTCGTTCGAACTGTATTTTCCAAACTAAAAAAAAGGATTTTTTATATGGAAAATACGGTTCGAACGAAAACATTGTGATCTTTCCGCGACTCTCCGTCCAAATCAAATGGAGACTCACTTCACTCACGGCGACTATTGTCACCTCACTAGTGCATTTCAGCAAACAAGCTGTTCCAATTTCATGAGCGATGTCACAACAGTGTCCGAGATTTGTATTCTAGAAATCGTGAAGTAATAGGGAATATCATCTATCTTGAACGCCATCTTTGGACTCTACAATAAATCACCGTCAAATAATCAAAAGTCTATTATTATCGTCAGCATTCTGTTATCTTTAATTTGGAGAAAAAAAAATTACAAATCAAAATACAACTCGAAAAAAAATAAAATCGTATGGATGGATTTCAATGTCGTTGTCCTCTGGAACGGGAGGAGCGAGAACGAGTGCGTGAATGAGTACGCGACTGAGACCGCGTAGGTGTCCGTGGCCGTGATCCAGACCGAGGCTGCGACGGAGATCTTCCCCTTTGCCTTGAGGTCCGCATCATCACTCGATCTTTATCCTGGGCGGCCATCCGTCGACGAATGGTGCTCACCCGGCGCACCACGGGTGGACGCACCTGATCCAGGGTTGGTGTCTGCGAACGTCTTACGTGGTCGACCGGGTTGACAGAATCGCTCGGTCCTTGAAATGGCTCGGCACCGAGTGCGTCCAGGTCTTCTTGCACAACGTGCAGTCTTGAATGGAAAAGCGCATCTTCACGTTTGTTCAAATCTACGGATAACTTGAATCCTTTGTCGGAACCGGAGATCAGACCAAACTTGCGGCCAGTTTCCAGGTGCTTCAAAATTTCCCGTTCCAGATTCTGGGACTTTGACGCCACTTCGGGGTGATGGTCCAGCAAAGCATTTGAGATCCTGTTCAATGGAACTGAACGGGGAATGTCCGTTAGCTTGTATGATCTCTAGGAAAGGTGTTTTATTTTACCTGGTTCTCCGGAGTTTTTCAGGATACCGAAGATTGTTGTGAACATGTTGGAGTACGCAGCAAACACAACCGTATTGTAGAATGTGGAAATTTTGAATGACAGTTTCTACGCTTTTCGTGGGCTACTTTGAACCAGTAGGTTGCTTTGATTACACCTCTATTAGCGAATTCGTTTATTAATCAGTTCCAACCTGGATCGGGTACAAGGGGCAAGTCAGCTGTACTCAGAGCAAATACACGAAATGAAAATCAATTATTTTATTCATGTGTTTCAGCATTTGGCACAGCATTCGGCACTTCTAAATCAGTCGGCACAGATTAAGATGTGCAGGGTTGAGTACCACATGCTGCCTTCAGAACTTTTTCGCCTTCCATCCGCAGAATGCCCAAGCTCAGTTGTCCCGAGTCCTATCAAAACATTAAAATGTATGAAATTTTGATTGTAACAAAATGCTCACCGTAGAAATCAACGGACAATTCTTTACTTCCCTTAGAAATGCAAGCCGAACAATGGATTATGTCCCCTTTTGTTAGTTTTGTTCGATGCTAGATAATAGTGTCTTTCATGGAACTGTGTGCTGAAAATAGCTGAAAATGTTTTTCAATGCCCATGGAGATGCAAAGAGAAAATCGACTTAGGACCTAATCCATTGTTCAGCTTGAATTGTAGACGGACAATTCGCAACTCGAACAACCGGGCTTGTCCGCTCATTGCCGATTCCGGTCACGATTCCAACAGTGGTTCGGTTCGTTGAATTGTCCCGTTTTGGACCTTTTCGGGAAACCCTAGCACCATCGATCTGCGGCTGCGGGAGAACCCAACGAAATCAAATTCATCACTTTCAGCCGCATCAGTCGCTCCGCGGATGGTTTTTGAAGTCAAAGAATGAACCCAGTACGCTTCCAAAAATTATTAATAGAGCTCTAATGATTCCAATTAGCGTCGTCAGTGGTTAGTGCTCTGTCGGGGAATAAATTTTCCGCTGGGTTGTTTACTATTCCTCACGCATCGGTGGCTGGCGACTTTTAGAAGCTGTTTTCCGTTCCGAAACAGCCCGCATTCAGTTGGTTCCACGAACCGCAACAACAGCAACCACCAGGACCGTCGCTTCCGTACGCTTGGATGGCAACAATATGGGTTCGTTAAAGTTTCCTAAATAGAACTGGGTAACGAGCTGATTCAGGCCATCGTGTGTTTATTTCCACCTTACCTACATCTAGAGTTTAGTTGGGGTACAGCTGATGTTAAGAAATAGCAACAGAAGAGGCTATGGAATGGGAACAACTTAACCATGAGCGCACAAAATGCGTTTTTTTTGTCTGCAGATGGGAAAGGAATTTGTTTCAACCGTTGAAGTGTCACTTAAATTTTAACATCTATCAGGAGCAGAAATAAAATGGAAGGGCAAAAGTCTAGATGAGGAGAGATGATTGATTTGTATTGCTGTACTTTACTATCAATAGTTAAATCGTTTTGCAATCGATATAGAATTCCATACTTTTGGACTATTTACTTGATTTCATTGTCAATGCGTCACCTGTACTTTTGTCACCTATTTTGGCAAGCTTTCCGCTATCAACCAATATGAGCCCACCTTTCTCCGCAAAACAAGACCATCTACTGCCGATATCGCCAATTTCCAAATTCCACAATTCAGCAGCAACTCTCCAATTAATCAAGACTTTTCCTTCGAGGAGCTGCAGTTTGCATTGCGATACAGCACCGGCAACTTAGCCGGCCCAGATGAAATAGGTTATCCCCTTTTAAAAAAATCTTCCTATCGGCGGAAAGGACAAATTATTGGACATTTACAACGAGGTGTAAATGGTGAATTTCCGGCTGCAAGGCTCGGTTATCGCAGTGACGATTTTCCTAATAGCGATGAACCGGATCTTTACTCGTTTGCCACTCAACATCCATATTCTCGCCTAAGCGGATGACGTGCTAATTGTGACCACCATCGCAAGGACACGCATCCAAGCACAAGCAGCTGTATCAGCAGTTGCCAAATGGGCACCCTAGTAATAATTTTGGTTTTATGAGGGTTCTGTAGACCATGATTTAGACTTGTAGAATGCTATAAAATCACGATAAAACCTGCAATGTTACTTGGGCGGCCTCAGCCTGGTTCCAACTCTCAGCAGCAAAGAGTATCCGCTGTCACGTCTGCGCTTCCGGTCACCGAGTCGTCGGCGCTTCTATCAAGATCGGGAATCAACCGATCCCCCTGAAAAATACGATACGCATCTTGGGCGTTCTAGTTGATCGACACTTAACCTTCACGAAACACCTCCAGAGCGTTAAGGATAGTTGCAAGACTCGCATAAACCTTATCAAAACAATCTCCATGCGGCATCACACCAACAACCGAGCTATACGGCTGCATGTAGCCAAGGCAGTTATTGACAGCCGTCTACTCTACGGTCTGGAGCTCACCGCAATGGCCAAGGACAAACTGTGGCAAGTCCTTGCACCGGTTTACAACGGCTACATCCGGGTAGTTTCAGGTCTCCTGCCCTCGACGCCGGCCGACACAGCCTGCGCTGAAGTCGGGGTACTTCCTTTCCGGTTTCGAATCGACACCGCAGTCGCCATTAAAGCGGCTGCCTACTTGGCAAAAACATCGGGTAACGAATGGAGCTATCTCCTCGAGGAGGGGAACAGAATCCTCCGTACACCAGAAAAAGTTGGCAATAGAGACCGTTCACCATCGAAAGCCGAATTAAGGACCAGTTTAGGGCAGGAGACAACTCGGCGGCGCTCAGACATTCCGTCGTGGAGATGCTAAACTCCGGGTACCCCAGGCATACGCACCGTTTTACGAACGGGTCCAAATCGCACAACGGAGTTGGGATAGGCATTGTGGGAAAGATCTCACCAACGAGCTTGAGCCTACCGCCACAATGTTCTGTTTTTTTCTGCAGAGGCGATTTTCGCAGCAGCAATCACACCATCTGACCGATCAGTCCTAGTCCTCACTGATTCACACAGCGTAATTTATGCACTCCGGCCCAACATACCCACTCATCCGTGGATTCAGACGTGCTCCCCCCCCCCCCCCCCAACACAGTATTCGCTTGGGTTCCTGGGAATTGTGGCATCACTGGCAACTCCGACGCTGACAGACTGGCCGGGGCGGGACCATCTGGTGCTAGGTACTCCATGCAGGCTAGGACCGCTTCTAAGGAAAATCAAGGAAAGCACGCGTTCATGGAAGGACCTTGGGAGCCTGAAGGAGCAACGAGTCATCTCCAGCCTTCGCACAAGTCACATCCGGCTCTCACACGAGTTCGGCGGAGGTGTTTTCCACAAGACCTTCGTCGTCTGTAATATTCCAGCCACCGTCGAGCATATCCTCTGCGTATGTCCAAAGTACGAGCTCATGCGGCAACACTACGGCCTTTCGGGGAATATCGGCGACATACTGGGCGACGAACCTTCGATCCTGGCTACCCTGATCTCCTTCCTGAAGGACGCTGGATTGTTTTTCAATGTTTGATTCCTTCCTTTCGGCCGTCGGAGCATCTCTACCGGACGGGGGCACCGCCTTCCACGGTGGAGCTCTGCCTTGTTCGGATTAGTCAATAAGTTAACTCAATGTCAATGGTCTAGTTTGTTCTTCTGTGTTTCCCAAATTTTAAATGTCGTGCAACCAAAACTCTGTAAATTCCAACTGTGTTTTTTTTTTTCTCAAGGCAGGCCTTATACCTCTGTTATTTTTCCTGCAAAGTGAATAACTAGCCAATGCAAGGGGTAAGTCACTCCGCACACCAATCTTGGGTCATCTTTTTTGTCAGTGTGCCGCAAATATGCCGACATTGCCGACTGTGCCCTTCATAGAGCAAGCTGAGATTGTTTGTAAAATACCCATCCCGGCAACCCGGTATTTCTGACACCTTGTATGTTTTGGTTTGAAATCGCAAGGATAAATCGAATTGAGGATGACGCGGGAAGGGGCGGGTGTGTGAACTTTCGGTGTTTTGTGATCCATCAGATAATAAAAGTCCTGTGTTTTAGTGTTTTATAATGCCCTCAAAGGCAGACCAAAAATCGGAAAGAGTTGGAACCGGTGGGGAGCATTGTTAGAGACCAACTATAGAGGGTGATGAATAGACATCTTTAATTTGTTTTGTGTGATTTGCAGCACCATTTGAATTAAGGGTACTAATGAGGTATGATTAACTGCCTCTTCCTCTTGAGTCCACACTAGAACCTACATTTCGTATTAAGATCTATAAGTGAACTGCTAGTCTGAGTTCCTCTGGTATATTCAATTAAAAGATGTTTCTGAACATACAGTCAAACAGCACGTAATGTTCTGAACAACTTCAATGACAGTTGTCCAGCAGTGCTCCCATTTTATTTAAAACAATCTAATGCCTACCAGATTGTGCCGAAGGTATGCCAAAAATGTGCCCAAGCTGTGTAGAATATAATTCCGGCACAATGTGCTGAGTGACTTACCCCAAGGGGTGGTCACTCTACACACTTATTTTGCGCCAACATTTTTCTCAGTGTGCCGCGCTGTGCCGAGAGTGCCAGTCATCGGACTGACTTTGTTTGTCAATAATTCAAGCTGAACATTGCATTAGGTCCTAAGTAACATTGACAGATTCTCTTCGTCGACTTTCTCTTTGTATCCCCGTGGCCATCGAGGGGGACGACTCTATCTACGATGCAGAAAAGATTGTGTTTTGCTGTGGCTAGCTGCGCGCACGCTGAGTAGATAAAAAGAAGATTGATGACGATTCTGAAGATTTCCTGCAAAAAGATGATGCTCGATGCAAGTAGATGCGACAAATGATAGAAGATTTTTCGAAGCTTGATTCGCTAGTGTGAGATTTGTTGAGCATCTTAACTTGAGATTTAGATGTGTCGCCCCCCTCGGTGGCCATGTAAAAACATTCCCAGGTTTTTCAGAACACAGATAGGAAAAATAAGCTTTTATCTAGCATCTAATACGACAAACACAACAAGAAACGGTTATGTGCTCCAGTCGAAAGAGAAAGTCGACGAAGAGAATCGTTCAATGTTACTTAGGACCT